AATACCAATAGAAAAGAGACCATTGCGGACAGGAAGTAATAGAGGGAAGTTAGATGGATTTTGCTTTTCTAACTTACTTAGTGTGAAATGTTGCCGTATAAGCATAACCAACATCTTCAAGGTTACAACACTCGAAGTTCAAGCAATGGGAGAAATTCATTTAAGAATTGCTTTTTAAAGACTACAACAGCGCTGAGAGGAGCTAACGAAATTCCTCCTGGGTTAGTGCATCACAACCTAAATTTACATGAATCCTGCCCACGGGACATGATTTAAAGAAAATCGAGACAGAATAAGCTAATTAGTGACTAGAGATAGCTACATAATTCATCAACGACCATCCGGAATGTTGTCTATATGTTGACACTTCTTGAGTCTCTCCATCTTGAATGATCCTGGTTGAACAAAGCGAAAAAGTTTAAAATTGTTGGTGAGAGGTAATCGAGGCTGCAAAACGAGCTGTTGAAACTCCGACCCCTGTGCCGGGAATAGCAGCCCTGCCACATCCAAAGGGATAGACAAAACGATATGCTTAATCACCTTCGAATGACCATTCCAACATGCTATTCAAAATGATCTGTGGGGCATTCCGAGCCAAACCCCGCATACACACCGGAGACCCACCACATATCCTGCGAAAAGGGGCACAATTATACACATTTTTATCTTTGTGATACAATGAGATTGGCAGGCGTTTATCGGAGGTTTACTACAGGTCTTGGCTATGCCTTAAGTAGCAAACAAAGAGAAGGTATGGTGAACAGACTTGGATAATTAGTATTAAAATACTTGCGTGAATTTGAATGCCTGCGAGCAAACTATGAATGGAAGAAATATTAAATTACGATTTCGTAATTGTAGACGAGGAAGAAACAATCGGCCGTGATCAGGATGTGAAAACAGGAATCTGAAAAGAAAAGCAAAACATTACTAATTTAACATAAACTGTTAGAGGAGGGCCGGGTGATGGATCCGGGTTGCTGAACGGCAAAAGCCGTCTGAAAGCCTGTAACAAAGAATGAAAGCGCGTAGCTATGGCTTTGCATTGGCAGGAATAAGCACAACCTTAATTATGAAATTGAAGACGACTGATAGCCGAATTAACGTCTCAGGAATGGCAAGATCGCCTAACAATAAGATCTGCCTTGATGACAACCATGCTTTGTTAGCACAACAATATAATATATTTTGCGACCACGCCAAATCCCTAAGGATGCCAACAACCGCTATAGGATGATTTTGTGAAGAGCGGACGAAACGAACCTTGAGTAAGCTTAAAAGATTCATCTAGCCTTTACTGATCTAGATATCCGAATCTGAGATTGGACATGCACCCTTGTCAAGTGTGTTTTTTTTTTGTTTTTTTTTTTTTATTCTTAAACCGACGAAATCTGACTTCTTACTACGTTACTTACCTGAAGTAAGGTGACGGCAACCTGTCAAGCAGCTACTATCATTACCTAAATGATACTTGATCTGTTGTCTTTTGAGCGTAGAATCCTTTTCTCGGATTTACATTTACATTTATTCATTTAGCTGACGCTTTTATCCAAAGCGACTTACAATTGCTATATATGTCAGAGGTCACATGCCTCTGGAGCAACTAGGGGTTAAGTGTCTTGCTCAGGGACACATTGGTGTCTCACAGTGGATTCGAACCCGGGTCTCTCACACCAAAGGCATGTGTCTTATCCACTGCGCCATCACCACTATATGGTGATGGCGCAGATGCGGAGCATATGCCTGACGTGGCTCCCGAGTTGCTCTTTGCAGAAATAGCCCCATTCATCGCTGGCCACAACAACAGTTGAGACTCTTGAATAGAAAGATACATGAACATGTAAATCATACAGTTGAGCAAAGACAATGCCACTCGAGTCTCCTTCACTGATTAGTTCTGTTGATTGGTTTGACTTGATAAAACTAATATGACTGTTAGTTCTACTGAGTTAACGGTTTTTGCAAAGGATGAGTGGCCTTTGACAGGAGCATCCTTAGTCTGCATTTTTCTGTACGTTAATGTGGAAATACCCATCACATAAAATATTTCTATCACGCATATCAGTGGATTAAGTAGTCACTGGGAAAGGTTGAATATTACACCGATTGTACACATTTCCAATATTGTAGATCTAATTTTCGTTAAGGGACTTATAATATGAATTTAAAGTAGGCCTAAATATGTTGAAAATAGTTGTTTATGAAATTACAACACTTATGTAAATACGTAATTAACTTGCCATTGTAGAGATATCCACTACAGTATACATAACAGCCAAATGAACAACTTGCTCTCCTTAACTCAGGTTTATTTATATATTTATTTTTAAATCAGTTACTCAGTTGTTAGTGGGTATTTGCAAACTGCCCACAAGAGCGTAGTATCGACAACGCTGATATATATATATATATATATATATATATATATATATATATATATATATTGCACAGTTTACAGGAACGTTCATCTCCATTGTAAAAATAATACATTGTGCAGTTTCCAACATTGCGGGTGTTTTGACAACGCTGATATTATTAGATCACTGTACTGTGGCGGTGACGCGAAACTTGCTTACACTTGCTATGAACATTTCCCCTTTAAGGCGAGCTAACCGGCCCCATTGCAGTCTGCAGATCAGTAACGTTAGTAATTATGAACACGTACGCCACGTCACCGTGGACACCAATTTGAACTCTGCCGCTGGTGTAGGAAGCAACGGAGAAATACTTACCTGGATGAAGTTTAATCGTGATAGAGGGGACATATTAACAGTGGCTGGTGGAAGCGCCTACCAAACTTGAAAAACCGACTTGAAAGCCTTGGAAGTGGAGCTTGAACTTGAACCAGCGAGAGAAGATCGCCTCTCGTGATTTGCAGAGTTGTTGATTCATGTCGGTGGATCGGTGATCTGCGGGATAATGCACCCGTGCAGACAGCGAGGTTCTTTTGCTGGACAAGTTGTTGAGACTGACATAGTTCTCTTCCTGCCGGATTATCCTGACTGAGCTGACGCTGTTGAGGCGTTTGATGACGTGAAAATGGAAACTGATTGGTTACCCAGGGTGTTTTAGGCCTAGAGAGCAGAACTTCTCATGAGAGGCCTTGGCTGATCAAAAAACTCTCCGAAGACCACTGTGCCTACGGGGAGATGCGGGACTGAACGCGGGAACCTCGACGTGTAGCAGGAGATACGGCGGGACATATCCATCGTCGGAACTCAATAATAGAACAATATGCGTGTCCTGAAACATGTTGGCTGGCGACTGAACGAGAGCATGAATGGCAGCGTCAGCATCTGCGAACTCAGACAAGTGTAAGTACCAATCTTATATACTGTGACTGTTAACACCTGATTGGATAGGGATGAGGTAATACATGGCGCGCTGATTGAGTCTTCCTGACAGAACTTAAGCTAAAGCTTCCATTTTCTGTCCCAAGGTCCAGTGTTGGGAGCGTCATGTTGCCGGAAAACTGCTTCGACAGACACCTCCCTGGGAATGGAGACTCCATCTAGAGGTGGTGAAGTCGATATGGGAGAGATTCAGCCCAACGGAAGTGGACCTGTTTGCGTCTCGAAAGATGTCCCACTGTCCACTGTGGTTTTCCGTCACACATCCAGCCCCACTGGGGTTGGATGCCATGGTACAGCTGTGGCCAAGGCTGCGCTTGTATGCATTTCCCCCGATCGCTCCGCTCACGGGAGTTCTGGAGAGGATCCATCGAGATGGAGTCAGTCTACTTCTAGTAGCCCCATTCTGGCCGGCCCAATTATGGTTCTCAGACATAATAGCACTCCTGAAGGTCTCAAGCGGTCTCACCCTCGCCTGGAGATGTGGAAGCTGTGGGTTTGGCCCCTGAGGGGGTTCAGTACCTAGATGCTGGCTTCTCAGCCGGAGTGGTCGAGACCATACTTAGTTCCAGAGCTCCTTCCACTTGGAGATTGTATGGCCTAAAGTTGAATGTGTTTTCCACTTGGTGTAGAGAGCATGAGTTAGACCCAGTTAACTGCCCGGTGGATTCAGTTCTGGAGTTCCTTCAAGATTGTTACTCTGCAGGTCTCAGGTGTACGTGTCTGCCATTGCAGCTTTCCATGCACCACTAAGTGATGGGCCTCTGGGGAGGCACCAGCTGGTCATACGTTTTCTCCGTGGTACATGGAGGATGAGACCGACGACCAGGACCAGAGTGCCAACCTGGGACCTGCCGGTGGTTCTTGAAGGGTTATCCCTGGCCCCCTTCGAACCACTTCAGTTGGCATCAGCTGAAGACCTGACGCTTAAGATGGCTTACGATTCCAATCAGGATTGGAATAGTTTCATTCATACTTCAGAGACGTACGCTTAGGGAGAGTCCCCAAAGAGTTGTTTCTAACGACGCACCATCTGGTTCCTTTCTCAGGGAACAAGGGTTACAGACGTAACCCAAAACGTTTTCTAGGCAATTCCAATGAACTGAGACTTAAGTTATTATGCTTCAAAAAGATCATGACTGAATAAACACTTCAACTTCAGTCTGCTCCTCACACAAACATCACATGACTTAAAATTGTACTTTTATGGTGCCATTTCTTTTCTTTTGTTTTTTAAGGTTTGAAAGTCACACAAGTTTAAAACAGCATGAGGGTGTCATGGTCATGTTTAGTTTCTCTTTCTTGTTTAGTTTCTGTTCATAGGTTTTATTGTCTTTATTTTTCGAGTTATTCATTAGTTGTCATGGTTTTTAATTACTTCTCACCTGTTCCCTTTTCTTTGATTGTCATCCTTCATGTACATATGCCAGTGGCGAGCGGGGGTTAGTAAATTTGCCTATGGGGAAAATAAAATACAATGGAAAGGGTTAGGGTTAGGTTAGTATTTTTGGGCAAGTAATTCTTTTAATTGTTAATTGCATTTGGTTAAAAAAATGGGAACTGTTTAAAAAAAAAAAGTTTATAGAAACTATTAAAGAATTTGTGTGATTTGATCCTCCTGATATTTTAGATATTGTGTCTCTTTCTCAGAGCTGCAGTCCCTATCTTCCTCATGAGTGTGACGGAAACTCGTATCTGAATGGCGTCTGCTACCAGTTCAACAGCAGATTACAGGCCGTCTCAAACTTTACCGCCGCTTACCAAGGTCTGACGAGTCTGACACAGAAACCAGCGGATAACGACACTTCTAGCACTGAATGCAGTTTAACTATTTCAGTCTTTAATACTGTAAACCATGTGTTGGGTTCTTACTAACATTCCAGTTGGTGTGATGATTATTGACAACTCAATTAAAGACAGGATTAAAGACATTATGTAAATACTTGTTTCCATATCTTGTGGTATTTCTGCAGAATGCACGAAGAGAGAAGTCAATCTGGTGTTTCTCTTTGACGGATCCAGCAGTATGAAACCAGACGAGTTTAAATTGAACAAGGAATTCATTAAACATGTTATGAGCAAGCTTTCAAACTCATCCATAAAGGTAAATCAATCCACCACTATTAATGTGGAAATATTGAGATGTAATCGTCTATAGTTTGCTAATGATGTTAACGGCACGTGTGCTTGTTGTTTGTCCTTCTGTGTGTCAGTTTGCTGCCGTCCAGTTTTCAACTACATTCACAACTGTGTTTGACTTCAACGACTATCAGGACGGCTCCGCTGAACACAAACTCATGCAAGAGAAACGCATAAAAACTCTCACAAACACACACGGAGCAATCAACTATGTTTTGTGAGTGAAACCTTCATATGTTTATGAATGTTCACTGAATGTACACTTTAAAAGAAACAGTCTTGAAATGCACATAATTAAAAATCAAAGATGGCTCTTTTTTGTTAAACACACTGGAGTTGGACTTTTGTCATTGCATAAATTAGAAGTTAAAAACGCATTGTAGAAAGAAAAGAGGCAGGTTGAGACTGATCAAATGTTTATATGTCATTATTTATGATTTATTACATCACCAGAGAGAATCTCCTGAATAACGTGTCGTCTGGAGCCGATCTCAGCGCTCAGAAAGCCCTGGTGATCATCACAGATGGAGACCCTAGTGATAATGATGAGGAAAGTGTCCTCAACAGATGCAATGAGCAAAATATCCTCCGCTTCATCATTGGGGTGAGTATCCTTAAAGCTTAAGCTGGTCATTTAGTTTGTGGTGTGTCAGTTTCATGTTCAGAGTCACTGGTAGTTTGATTCTTAGGGTTGAAACACTGTGACTCTGTGGTTTGTTTGAGCTGCCTGACATGCCAACTTGTCAAACAAACACGTGAGTTTGGGGCGGGAATATCTGATTGACTGACCAATGGCAAACTTGGAGAGTGTTCAAAAAACCTGTCTGGAAACAGTCATTATTTGTGTAATTTGGTGTCTCTAGTTATGCAGAAATGACACACTTCAGCTTTCAATAAATAAATTATGTTTTACATATTGGGCTGATTCAATTCATAGTTATTCAAAGTGTTTTTGCACAGACAGACTTAATGACATTTGTGTTTGCCAGGTGGGACATGTTAGCTTAAAAACACTCAGGGAGCTGGCTTCAGAACCAAGGATAAACAACACCTTCTACATTCAAGACTACAGTGGACTCAAAGGACTTCTTGACAATCTGCAAATAAAGATCTACAACATTGAAGGTAAAATGCAAGCGTAAAGAAAATGGACACACTGTATAAAGTTTTAAATAAAAGCAGCTAATGAAGAATCCACTGATGATTTAAGAGTTTTCCTTCTGTGGTTTCAGGGTCAAAGGACGCACACAGCAAAGACAGACAGAAAGAGTTATCGCAGAGTGGATTCAGTGTCCTCTTCCACAAGGTCAGAAATATGTCATATAAGTTAAATAAAATACTATTTCTTATAAGGAATAGTTCATGTTATGGTATAAAAGTAGTTTATAGAATCTCATAAAATGCTGCTGATTGGTGCATTGTGGGAATGTGTAGGTCATGAATGTATCAAGTGCCCTGGAACAATTACGACTCTGTGACGGCTGTAGAAATGGGTGATGCACTATAGCGAGCTGATTGAGAAATTTACAACACATTAATCAATGCTGGGTTTCCCAGTTGATGTAAACTGATCTGCTGCATTTGCTGCTAAAGATATAAAACAAAAACTCTGGACATCTTTCAAAGACTCAATGCCACTAACCACATAAATGTTGCAAATATAAACCTGCGCACACAAACTCCTGGAAATTGCATAAAGCAGGCAATCAGATCAGAAGAGCAGCTTTTAAGAATCTCTGGTGATTATTGTCTGTAATGAGTCAATATGCCGAGACTGAAGAGGAGACTGAAGCTGAGACTGAAGCTGAGACTGAAGCTGAGACTGAAGCCGAGACTGAAGCCGAGACTGAAGCCGAGACTGAAGCCGAGACTGAAGCCGAGACTGAAGCGCGAGACTGAAGCGGAGACTGAAGCTGAGACTGAAGCCGAGACTGAAGCTGAGACTGAAGCTGAGACTGAAGCGGAGACTGAAGCTGAGACTGAAGCCGAGACTGAAGCTGAGACTGAAGCTGAGACTGAAGCTGAGACTGAAGCCGAGACTGAAGCTGAGACTGAAGCCGAGACTGAAGCTGAGACTGAAGCTGAGACTGAAGCTGAGACTGAAGCCGAGACTGAAGCCGAGACTGAAGCTGAGACTGAAGCTGAGACTGAAGCTGAGACTGAAGCCGAGACTGAAGCCGAGACTGAAGCTGAGACTGAAGCTGAGACTGAAGCTGAGACTGAAGCTGAGACTGAAGCTGAGACTGAAGCTGAGACTGAAGCTGAGACTGAAGCTGAGACTGAAGCTGAGACTGAAGCGGAGACTGAAGCCGAGACTGAAGCCGAGACTGAAGCCGAGACTGAAGCCGAGACTGAAGCTGAGACTGAAGCGGAGACTGAAGCTGAGACTGAAGCTGAGACTGAAGCCGAGACTGAAGCTGAGACTGAAGCTGAGACTGAAGCGGAGACTGAAGCTGAGACTGAAGCTGAGACTGAAGCTGAGACTGAAGCTGAGACTGAAGCTGAGACTGAAGCCGAGACTGAAGCTGAGACTGAAGCTGAGACTGAAGCTGAGACTGAAGCTGAGACTGAAGCTGAGACTGAAGCGGAGACTGAAGCCGAGACTGAAGCTGAGACTGAAGCTGAGACTGAAGCTGAGACTGAAGCTGAGACTGAAGCTGAGACTGAAGCGGAGACTGAAGCTGAGACTGAAGCGCGAGACTGAAGCGGAGACTGAAGCTGAGACTGAAGCCGAGACTGAAGCCGAGACTGAAGCCGAGACTGAAGCCGAGACTGAAGCCGAGACTGAAGCCGAGACTGAAGCCGAGACTGAAGCGAAGCCGAGACTGAAGCTGAGACTGAAGCTGAGACTGAAGCCGAGACTGAAGCCGAGACTGAAGCTGAGACTGAAGCCGAGACTGAAGCTGAGACTGAAGCCGAGACTGAAGCTGAGACTGCTGCGTTTGTTTCAGGACTCTGCGATTGTGGGTTCAGTTGGATCTAATGACTGGCGTGGATCTCTGTATGAAGTGACTGGATCAGGATCTGGATTTAAAGAGACTGAGATTAAGGATCCATCTGTCAGTAAAGACTCGTACATGGGTATGTTGAAGCTGTTGGTCCGTCCTAGTCTGGTGTGAAGTGTCTGTGCATGTTTTAATGATGCTGATGATGTTCAGGTTACTCTGCTGTTCTGGGAATGAGAGGCGGCATCTCTCTTCTGTTCTCTGGGGCTCCGCGGGCCGAACACAAGGGTCTGGTGACCCTCTTCACCAAGAATGAAAGCACATGGACAGTGACGAGGAACATCACCGGAGAACAAGTTAGTGAAGAAGAACCCTCTGACACGATATTAACACTCTCCATCAGCAAGAGCAGGGCTTTACAAATCCTACGGAAGAAGCAACCACACTTAGAAACACTCTTACAAAACCATTAAAACCATCTCAAAAACCTCACCGGCCATCTACCAACCACTTATTACCTTTCTAGCAACACCCTAGTAATCACCCCCTAGCAACTGCAAAGCAACCACATATAAACATCCTTACAAAGCTCTAGGACCTCCCTAAAAACACTTATAAACATCCTACAAGTTACCCAGAACATCCAAGCAATCACCTAGCAAAACTCTAGCAGCTAGTTAGCAACCACTTAGCAATGCCCTAGCTACCACTTACTGTAGAAGCTGTAATATTTTAATTATAGTAAAGTTAACAGAATTAAAGTAATACATATAGGATATTTTAATAATAAAAAATAGGGCTAACTGAATAAGTTATTCTGAATATTATAAATTCAGATGACCTCACATGATTTTTTAGCATTTGCAAGTTTTAATTATCAGTAATAACAAGCATTTCACTTACATTATGGGCTCTACATCGGCGTATAAAACGGAAATGAGTCAAATCATTTCTGCCTAGACCACTTCAGTTTCTAGTGTTCAACATGAAGGCAGGGAGTATTGTGTGAATGTGTTTGTGAGGTGTTAGTGGAACATGTTGTTTTCACATTTCTTCTGTGAACATCAGGCTATAAAGATCATATGCTAGAATGCAATTACATTCATTTTGATTCATTTTTGGCATCAGATTGGCTCGTATTTTGGCGCGTCTCTGAGTCTGTTGGATGTGGACTTGGATGGAGACTCAGATTTCCTTCTGGTCGGAGCTCCGTTATTTCACCAGTCTCAGCCGAGGGCAGAAGGGAGGCTGTACGTCTACGCTTTATCAGAGGAGGTATGGACAGATTCACAACATTCTCCATTAGTAAGTACAGAAACACATGTGGTTAATGTTCAGGGTCTGTGACTGGAAGATTGCTAGTCATCACCATTGCGTTACTCCAGTGCAGCGATGGGCAACTTCGGTCCTGGAGGGAAACTGTCCTGCAGAGTTTAGCTCCAACCCTGATAAAAAACTCTCCTGCCTGTAGCTTTCTAGTAATCCTGAAGACATTGATTAGCTGGTTCATGTGTGTTTGAGTCGGGTTGGAGTTGTGGATAGTGGCTCTCCAGTAACGAAGTTGTCCAAAAAAAACAGTTGTCCTGCAAAAAAAACAGGTGTCTCGAGAACGCACTCCCTGAAATAGGTTAGAAGGTGCAAACGCTAATCTGTTATCTCTGCGGAAACCTCAAAAACGCAAACCCGCGAAAATGCAGACGGTGCGTACATGCGCATGATGTGTTCAGTCCATAGGTATGCGCGTTTGAATACTCAGGCGTGTAGTCCTTCACGAATCAACCCTCAACAAACCACTTGTCTGGTCTTAAAAATTTCTAATGCAGAAAAATGTCCCGTCTGCGTAGCCACGAGAACCGTAATTATCCCGACAACGTTTTATCTGTACAGGGGTAAAGGGAGGGAGGCCTTCACAGGGGAGAGACACTTCAGGACTGCGTTGTCGTCGCGTCCAGACGCAGGTCCTTCATCAGATCTGGATACGGCCTGGATCCGGCGGACTGCGGTAAAAATCGGGATGAACAGAAAGACTAATATTAGCGTAGACGCCATCCTTATGATGTAACGACTGCATCAGGATTTATGGGAAGTGTTCCCGGTTCCGGCTGATCTAAACTATGCAGCCTAACATTTAATTATAGAAGTCTATAATGTGTTATGTGTATGCTAGGTCAAAGAGATGTGTTTTTAGTCTAGCTTTGAACTGACAGAGTGTGTCTGCTGGTAGGAAGATTGTTCCAAAGTTTTGGTGCTAAATAGGAAAAGGATCTCCCGCCAGCAGTCGATTTAGATATTCTAGGTATTATCAACTGGCCGGAACTTTGAGATCGCAATAGACGTGAAGGACTATAATGCGTTAAGAGCTCGCTCAAGCACTGGGAGCTAAACCATTTAGTGCTTTGTAAGTAATCAGCAATATTTTAAAATGTATACGATGTTTAATAGGGAGCCAATGCAGTGTTGACAGAACCGGGCTAATATGGTCATATTTCCTGGTTCTGGTAAGAACTCGAGCTGCTGCGTTTTGAACTAGCTGTAGTTTGTTTATTAAGCGTGCAGGGCAACCACCCAGTAGAGCGTTACAGTAATCTAGCCTTGATGTCATGAACGCATGAACTAACTGTTCCGCATTTTTAATTGAGAGCATATGGCGTAATTTAGCTATATTTTTAAGATGAAAAAATTTGGTTTTACAGATACTAGACACGTGACTTTCAAATGAAAGATTGGTCTCTAAGAACACACCCAGGTTCCTAACCGACGACGAAGACTTAACAGAGCAGCCATCAAGTGTTAGACAGTATTCTAGGTTATTACGTGTGGAAGTTTTTTGTCCAATAATTAGAATCTCTGTTTTTTCAGAATTTAGTAGTAGGAAATTACTAATCATCCAAACTTTTATATCAGCTATGCATTCCGTTAATTTTGTGAATTGGAAATTTTGTGAGTTTCGTCAGGGCGTGAAGAAATATACAGCTGAGTATCATCAGCATAACAGTGAAAACGAATGCCATGTTTCCTAATGATATCTCCTAATGGTAGCATGTACAGAGTGAACAGCAGCGGTCCTAGTACTGAGCCTTGTGGTACGCCATACTGAACTTGTGATCGATAAGACATCTCTTCATTTACTGCTACAAACTGATAACGGTCAGTTAAGTATGATTTAAACCATGCTAGTGCAACTCCACTAATGCCAACATAGTTTTCTAATCCATTCAAAAGAATGTTGTGGTCAATAGTATCAAATGCAGCACTAAGATCGAGTAACACTAATAGAGAGATACAACCACGATCGGATGATAAGAGCAGATCATGTGTGACTCTAATGAGAGCGGTCTCAGTGCTATGGTACGGTCTAAATCAGGACTGAAAATCCTCGCAGATATCATTTCTTTCTAGAAAGGAACACAGTTGTGAGGATACTGCTTTTTCTAATATCTTTGACAGAAAAGGCAGATTCGAGATCGGCCTGTAATTGACTAATTCTGTAGGATCAAGTTGCGGTTTTTTAACAAGTGGTTTTATCATAGCCAGCTTAAAGGTTTTTGGTACGTATCCTAGAGACAAAGACGAATTAATGATATTAAGAAGAGGATCTATGACCTCTGGAAGCATCTCTTTCAGTAGTTTAGTTGGTATAGGGTCTAACATGTTGTCGATTTAGATGAATTAACAAGTTTAGAAAATTCATCCTCTCCTATAGCAATGAATGAATCAAATTTTTCGTCATGGTAATGCATTGTTTTGGAGCTGGTCATGTGCAGACGAATAAAGATCATGGTCTCTCTCTCTCTGTAGTATTTTCAGAAGACACTGAACGAGTCAAACACCGGCAGATTTGCTGCATCTCTGGCTTCACTAAAGGACCTGAATGGGGACGGGCTGTCAGATGTGGCAGTCGGGGCGCCGCTTGAGAATGAAGGGGAGGGAGTCGTCTACATCTACCTGGGCGACAGGACACGTGGAATAAACACCGAACACGCTCCTCAGGTGAGAGTTTGCTTTAGTTCCCTCAATCCCAAACACTGTGTTTGTGCCCAGTTTAACCCAGAATCCCAGACGAGCCCAATGTTCTCAGATAAACAGACAGACATGGCAGGCTAAACGTGTACAATGATGAACCGCTTTAGCACAGTAGATCTCTCTGTGTGTGTGTGTGTGTGTGTCTAGTTGATTCCAGCGCGCTCGGTTCTGCCCGGTCTGCAGCAGTTCGGAGTGTCTCTGTCTGGTCAGATGGACATGAGCGATGATAATCTGACAGATGTCGTGATCGGAGCTAAAGGAGGGATCGTGCTGCTCAAGTAGGACATTTCACAACACATTTACACAATAATGGAAAGATTCTCTTGCAGGCTAAACACGAGGTCTCATTTATGAACTACTAAAGTGACTGTACTCAAACAGAGCCAGTTTGCAATTGAACCCTTAGTTTGGAGAATGAAATGATTTGAGCAAACTTACTATCAGTTTGAGTTGGTCAAGTTTTTTTAGGCCCAGTTAGTCTCACTGTATCATTAGCTATTTACTCTTTTCTCTCTCTTCTCAGGGCTCGGCCTGTGATGTCTGTATCGGCGCAGCTCAGTTTCAGTCCCAATGAAATCAATCTGAATGACTTTGAATGCCCGGGTGGTGACAAAGTCTTTATTGCGTTTAATCTCACTTCATGTTTCACAGTGAACGAGCGGACCAGTAGCAGTGGTAACGTCAAATACATCTCAGAGTCTCAGTCACATGAAGAGCAGGCGTCCATAAGTCTTACCCCTCTCATCTCTCTCAGGATCTCTCGAGAAGAACCTGAATATTTCTCTGAACCTGAATGTTGATGTGATGAGAGGAATCAATCGAGGATTCGTCGATCAGAGTGATCCGTCGTCCAGGACTCTTCAGCAGTTTATCCTGCTGGATTCTAGGATCTCCTGTTCCAGATTCCCCATCTTCATGCCAGTACGTTTCATCTATCACAGCTTCAGCCAATCACAGCAGCTTCGGTTTAACACCAAATGTTGTGTTTGTTTTAGCGCTGCATAAGAGACACAGTGTTTCCGCTGAAGATACGAATGAATTTCTCACAAACCGAGATGCTTTCTGAAAACTCCACGGCTATTCTTGACATCCACAGCAGGACAGAGGAGTATGTCGAGGTAAGCTGAACTTCTGACATCACAATTTATACACACTAGGCTTGTTAAATGCATGTCTTTCTCTGTCTAGAAATATCAGCTCCTTCAGCTTTACTGTATAAAGTTTCTGCAACATTCAAAAGCTCTATGAAAGTTTCTGTTTTGTATGTTATTAGGTGCCGTTTCAAAGGAACTGTAATTCAAACAACAGCTGTGTGGCCGATCTGAAGCTGAACTTCAGTTTTACGTGAGAAACCACTGATAGATACATCAGACATGATACTAATGTTGTAAATGCTTCTGAATATTTCCATTCTTCCTGATTTGAATTAACATGAGAATGTGATGAAGATTCTGCATCTTTGTTCTTCAGGAATGACACGTTGGTGGTGGTGAATCAAGCTCATTTCACTGTCCTCGTATCGCTGGCCAACCCAGGCGACGACTCCTTCAACACCAGCATAGTGCTGCACTACCCAGAAGGCCTCTCGCTCTCGAAATTTGACACTGTTAAGGTACCGCCGTCCACACGTCAAACTAAGGACTGTCAAAATCTGAAAAAACCTTCTGAAAATGCTTTCGGTATTAAAATCTAAATAGCAGCTGAAATACAGTACCTATATACGCGATATATATATATAATTGACTGATAAACTCTCAACAGACAACACAATTGATCAGATTTCATTCTGCTACTCAAATAAGTCTCGTCACTTTTTAATATATTGAGTATGATGTGCATATAGCCTACTGGAATTTAAAAAATATATATTTCTGTAATGACAACTCTCGGGAGATTTGTATGGTAATAGAGATTGCAATCGTAATGGTAATGGATATGGCAATGTTGACGCATTTGGTCTTGGTGGAATAGATCTGCTACGCTGCTGTAGAGCAAGTACCAAGACTTGCTAGTGCGAATACATTCACAGACATTGCTGTGAGCATTTAAGACATGCTTCTGCTGCTCCTGCACACATTCATGAATTAACCCCCCAACAAAGCAGGAGACAAGACATGAGAAAAGTGCAGACCATCTTTCAGATAGTTAAAGGCTGTACAGCCAATGCCACAGTTGCACAGCTTTTCCCAGCCGCTCTATATTTTGAGTTTGGAGCACATTTGTGCAACAGCTGAAAGAGACTATTGCTGTACAATTATAACGTCAGAGAAACGTCAGTACTATAATCGATTATGGTTTATTACTGTATCAACGCAGAATCATTCATGTCCGCATCACGGTGCATCGTAGAAACGATTGATTTCAACACCCCTAGCCTGGGCTACCTTACTGAACAGGGAACCCTAAAAGCTCTAGGAACACGCACTAGGTGTTCTCATTAACAATAGATGTACATTGCAAGCTGATAGAGATAGAAATAAAAACGCACCTGAGCAAGTATCATAATTAAATCATGTGATGCATTATTGATATAACCTTATACTCTTATTGATTAGTGAAAAATTGTTGTTGAGACAATAAAGAAAGATAGACCGTGGTCTGACGCTGAGCGCAGTTAAAAATCAACCACAAACATTAGCATAGCTAATAAATAAAATTGCCCTTGGAAATGACCAAAAATTGTAACACAGAGTATGCAGATAAACATGGTAACGCTGTTGAAAGCGCGAATGCTTATATTACTTTAACCTATTCTCATATCCGTAGCTTAGACAGCATATCCTCACAGCAATGACATACAACAGACCGCTTGCTTGCGGCATAAACACAACTGAGTAAATGCTGCAGCTTATATGCTTAGTAAATCACTCCACAAGATTATTAACGAAACGCTTAGATTAAACTGTTATGATTGCTCATTTGGGAATTAATAAGCAAACCACACAATATGCACAGAGATATGGAGTTAAAGAGTGTGCACTTATCTTAGATGTTGATTTCAGATGCGTTCTGAAAGCGCGCCGCAGATTGTGCTAACTGCTAACTGCTAACAGCAACACTGCAGGTGTTTATTTGAATGTTGAGCCGCAGCTCATTGGCCACTGATGCAACAGCAACCAATCAGCTGCGCTATAGAGATGATGATGCGATCGCTACCAAATGAGTTAAAGACCAATCAGCTGCGCCATCTAGAGGTTCATGACAGAACTTCATTTCCAGTAAAACGCTGATATTACAGTTGTGTGTCATTCAGAATTAAATTTAAATTCCAATTTTGAAACTGAAACGGTGCCAATTCTACAATCTGAATTATTCAGTTTAAATTTACAATAAAGATATAGGTCAAAGAATCAAAGATATAAAAGAGGTTTCTAAATATCTAAATATAAGTCTAAATCATTTATGTTGTGTTGTTTTAAGTCCAATTCACAGACGTCGACCAACAGCTACAGACACTTTGTAGAGTTTTGTTGAATCAGTGTTGAATGTTGCCAGATGTTTTTTGGGTCGTGGAATGTCTGAAAAGTGACGTACTGTAATCTGGTGGTGATTGTCTGTGTTGGTCGGTGTCTGTTGGTGCAGTGTGAATTGCCCTTTAAGGATTATATAAATTGTGTGTGTGTGTGTGTGTGTGTGTGTGTGTGTGTGTGTGTGTGTGTGTGTTCAACAAACAGCCCAGCCGGACTCGAAGCAGCTGTGGTGATCGTGACAGCGGTGCTATGAACAGAACCTCCTGCAGTATCAATCTACCAGTGTACCGCAGCGGCACCACGGTAACACACACACACACACACACACACACACACACACACACACTGACAGACTGTAGTATCTTTCCTCATGTAACGACAGATGCACATGCAGAAGCACTTAGGAGATGAATGAACTCATGGGCCCTATCTTGCACCCGGCGCAAATGACTTTGTACACCGGCGCATGTATCATTCCTATTTTGCACCCTCGCAAAGCGGCTTTTCCCTCCACAGACGCAAAGAGGAGGCGTGTTTCGGCGCAAACATTCCCTAGGGCTACTTTGCAGTTCCAGAAAACAATTCCGCCACTGACCAGAACAACCTAGTCTAAAGTCAGTGGCGCGGTGCGCGTTGTTCATAATGCTATTTTAAGCGCGCATGCTTGGCCATAATGTAGCGGGTGCACAACGCGCATACACTTCTCTCATCAACACAGATGCAGCAGTTTTTATTTTTGCAAATCATACATTATAACAAGGAAAAATATTAACACATGAGGGAAATCATTGTGGTGTCCATGAAGATGTAAAAAAATGTAGGCCTAAATCTAGCTTACACATTTACCCAAAAATAGCAACAGCGCCCAAGACCCGCCCACAAAGTTACTTGCGCTTCGCGCTTGATACTTGCGTTTCAGATCGTTAAAATAGGGCCCATACAGTCACAAGACTAAAACAGAAATATATCCTTACATTTACTTCCAATGGCAGTTTTTTACATTTATAAGGGGAACGTTTTTTAACCTTATTAAAGGTGTGTGTCATATTTTATGTAAGACTCTTAAATGTAATCAATTACTTAAATTAAAGGTACAATATGTAAGAATTTTGTAATAAAATATCCAACAATCACTTGCATAGTGTGATATATTTCCTGCAGTTGTGTACTTACAATAGGGGTGGCATGGTACATGAAAAACACCCGAACCGTTCGGTTCGCTTGTCTCGGTTCGGAGAGCGTGTGTGTGTCTCACGGTTCGACGCATGCGCAATGTAGCCTTGTGCCCGTATGTGACCTCAGACGTGTGTTTCTTTTTCGCGCGAAATAAGACGTGTGGACTAGGGGTGTAAGAAAAAATCGATACACTTGAGTATCGCGATATTTTATTTTGCAATACTGTATCGATTTTCAAAAACGCAATATCGATTTTTTTTTTAGTTTACGTGCAAAAATATTCATACTATTGCCGTGGTTCGCGTTTATGTTGTGTTTAAATCCCTACCACTAGATGGCTAGAATGAGACGCACCACTAGTGTCCTCGCCTACAGTGTCTATGATTTTGATTAATATGCGCGAGGGAGAGAGAGCAAGACAGCGCGCGTGTTGTTTGAAGACGTGAGAGTGCGCGCGCGCGGCCGGGGCGCGCTCTCTCTCTCTCTCTCTCTCTCTCTCTCTCTCTCTCTCTCTCTCTCTCTCTGTCTCTCTCTCTCTCTCTCTCTCTCTCTGCTCGTTTGCGTCCTGTCAAGCGCAGCAGTCTTTCTATTCTACATCACTCACCGATAAAAAAAGGCTTTGGCGGGACACAAATTTGTTTTGGCAGCCGCTAAAAAGCGGACGATTTGACGGGTTTTAAAAGATTAAATACAACCCGAAACTAAAAAACAGACCCCGCCTCTATTTGAGACTGGCCTTTATTTACCCAAACCTGTCGCCACTCGCCACATCAGGCGTGTAAAAGAGACCGGCGTCTATATGGGACTCGCTATTATTTGAAGTTTTACGGTATGTGATGGATGTACCCTGTATGAATAATAGTGCAAGCATTTTTTTAATGACAGATTGCCCCTCAGATTGCACCTTATGTGTTATGCATTAGCCTAGATGTCACAGTAAGGGGCTATGTATTTTCTTTAACTGACTATTTATATATTTGTTCCTCAATGTTTCCTTTAGGAATTGGGGATATTCAAATTAATTAACCAATCATTAATACCATTGATCAGCCCTACCTAACGTGGATGTTTTTTCCACTAAGAAACAAACATTGTTATGTTATTTTGATTTATACTGTGAAGCTTTGATACAATTGTGAAAAGCGCTGTATAAATATACTTGACTTGACTTGAATTGTGTTCGTGTTTTTGCAACACAAAACGTGTTGGATGTACCCTGTGTACTAGGAATAGTGCAAGCATTTATTTATTTTTATTGACATAGACAGATGTCTTTTCTTTTTTCAGATTGCACACATGTGTGTATGTTATGTATTGTGACAGGGGCTATGTATTTTCTTTTATTAAGGCCTACTTGAGCATATACAAATTTGCTCACTAAGAACCTGTGAACCACAATCCCAAACTGGCAGTTTGATTTTCTGTGTACTGAATTGTTTATCTAAAGTAAACTTGTTTGAATTTTATGCACATCATGTCTTTTTTTTTTAAATAATACTTTCTAAAATTGTAGTCCTACTTTAAAAAAATCGCAATATATCGCCTTATGCACAGTATCGAAATATATCGCAATATATTGAATCGTGACCCATGTATCGCGATACGTATCGTATCGCCAGATTCTTGCCAATACACAGCCCTAGTGTGGACATACATATGAGGCTTGTTCGACTTGAACCGGTGCTGCACAGAGCGATCGGTGAATGACATCAAAGAACCGCGAGAGCGACGGTCCCGTATGCTTTTCAATCACTCTCGCGGTTCTTTGATGTCATAAACCGATCGCTCTGTGCAGCGCCGGTTCAAGTCGAACACGCCAGGAAAAGTGGAGTATGGAGTGCTGCAGGTCACGTCACGCAGAGAAGTGGCAAGTGGGAGAGATAAGGAAGGGCGCCAGCGTCGTATAAAGCCTTGTTTATACTCAACGCGTCTGCAAGAGCGCGAAGTGCGCGCGGCAAAAATGACGTCATTGCGGTGTGGGCGGTCGTGCGCGTTGGGTGCGCAAGACCCCATTTCGCCTGGCGGTGTGCACGGCACTTTTTGTAACATCGCGCGCGGCGCCGCATCCGAAGATGACCGACTTCGAGCCGAATCTGGCCGAACTGGTACGTCTGTCATTTTGTGAATAGGAACACATTTGCATTAAGCACCCAGTTTGCACTTGTCTAAAGTAACTGGTTATATTTACAAAATAAGCCTACAATAGCAGAAGTAAGCCCTGCTGATGAAATTAAAGGGATACTCCACTTTTTTTGGAAATAGGCTCATTTTACAACTCCCCCAGAGTTAAACTGTTGAGTTTTACCGTTTTTGAATCCATTCAGCCGATGTCCGGTTCTGGCGGTACCACTTTTAGCATAGCTTAGCATACATAATTGAAGTGGACAAGACCATTAGCAGTTCTCAAACAAAAATCACCAAAGAGTTTCGATATTTTTCCTATTTAAAACTTGACTCTTCTGTAGTTACATCGTGCACTAAGACCGACGGAAAATGTAAAGTTGCGATTTTCTAGGCTGATATGGCTAGGAACTATACTCTCATTCCTGCGTAATAATCAAGAAACTTCACTGCCGTACCATGAGTGCAGCAGGCGTAATGATATGACGCAGCGCCTGAAAATAGGCCACCTTCCGTCAACACAACGGAACTATTTTCAGGCGCTGCGTCATATCATTACGCCTGCTGCACTCATGGTACGGCAGTGAAGTTTCTTGATTATTACGCAGGAATGAGAGTATAGTTCCTAGCCATATCAGCCTAGAAAATCGCAACTTTACATTTTCCGTCGGTCTTAGTGCACGATGTAACTACAGAAGAGTCAAGTTTTAAATAGGAAAAATATCGAAACCCTTTGGTGATTTTTGTTTGAGAACTGCTAATGGTCTTGTCCACTTCAATTATGTATGCTAAGCTATGCTAAAAGTGGTACCGCCAGAACCGGAGATCGGCTGAATGGATTCAAAAACGGTAAAACTCAACAGTTTAACTCTGGGGGAGTTGTAAAATGAGCCTATTTCCAAAAAAAGTGGAGTATCCCTTTAAGGTTTAAACACTCTTCAATAAGGCTTCAGTTGTTTAACCAGTTCACATGCAGTGAAAGTACAATAAACCTACTGCATTTATTACTCTTTTTATATGAATCAGCAATTAATAAACGGCAAACTACTTCTTCACTGCTGATTCCTGGTGGTTTAGAGGAGAATTACTCCGAGTCGCCCCCTGTCGTTTCACAGAATAGCACAACGGCGAGCGCGTCAAGTATAAACGCCTCGTCCGTTTGGAGAGGTGCGCGCGCAGTCAGCGGAGACTCGCGCTCGTGCGGACGCGTCGAGTATAAACAAGGCTTAAGTCCGGTGTGTGGGAACATTTTGGATTGAAAAAAATGTATCCTCACTCTCAGGGAATAGAAGCATTGTTGATACTGTTTTTGTGTTGAGGTTGAACTTATGTTTCACTTTATGATTATGGCCTTTGCTATTGCTATAGCCTAATTATAGGCAATTATGTTTCATGTATTTTGACTTATTTAAAAGACAGAGTTTTAAGAGTTCCTCTCTACACTTAAGTTGGCAGTTTGATAAATGCAAGTTAATTTCAATCTTTGTGTGCTAAAAATGCACATAAGTTCCTGTAGAGATAGTGATACACATTCTCCTTTTTTGCCAAATAAACGAAAAGCATGTCATCAATGTCTTCCCTCTTGCTGTATCAATCTCACCTAGCTTTCCTTGGAGATGGTCCCAATAATGTGCTTAAAGTCAAGTCAAATTCAGTTTGTGCATGATATAACATTTTTTTTAATACTGTATCCTAAATTGTGGATAATTAAGCTATATATCATATCCTGAAGTACATTTCTGGAGTGTTAAAGATTTAAAAAACAACAACAACAAGAACCGTAGAGAACCGAAAACCGTGACCCTAAAACCGTGATACAAACCGAACCGAAAAATGTCGCCTGTCAATGGCGCAATATCCGCGCTATCCCCGGTTTCCGCTCGTACTGCCATAGCCATGACGTAACCATGGCGACAGACATGGACAACTGCGTAGTGCGTAACGTTTAGCGGCACGCAGTTCTTGTTTCTATCAAACATAGACCATGGCAAGCAGACTTTGGGACACACAAGGAGAACTAAAATGAGGATCAACATCAGCGTGGCGTTTTTGAGATGCCGAGAGCTAGCGTCCGCGACTAACTCGGACTCGACAGAGCTTCACGAGTCACGACAGCTTTATTAGACAGGTGAGCAAATGTACATAAAACAAATCAATGTTATATAACGTTAGCTCAACATGATGAAATGTTAGAATATGGTCAGTATGTTATTCTAATGTTGATCTAGCTCACTGCTAGTTTCGTATAGCAAACGAACTAACACGTAGTATAACATTATAACTTTCAACACACATTTAAAGGAGAACCCCGGTGCAAAATGAACCTCGGGTGTAATAACACATTGGTACAGACTAAATCGTTCCCTGAGATTTGTTTTCATGATGGCTCCTGTCTGTATGCGCTAACTGTACTGTCTGTGTAAAGTATCTTCTTATTAAACTGTCTATACACTTACAAAGTTCTCAATGCTTCGATTTGCATGTAAGGACACTCATTATGCTGCCGTGTTAGTGTGGGGATAATTTGAGCCTTGTTACTGGTATTAACTAGCGATCTCTTTTTGCTTACTCGATGCCCAATATACTAGCGTTATAAGCTAAACTGTTTTTAGAGATAAAACTCTTTACATTCGATTATCATGAAAACAAATCTCAGGGAACGATTTAGTCTGTACCAATGTGTTATTACACCCGAGGTTCATTTTGCGCCGGAGTTCTCCTTTAAATGCTGTTTAGTGTGATAGTGTAACGTTAGAGCAAGTGAAACTGCGCTGTGTTACCTCACAAGTTTAATTAGTCTAATAAACTGACCTGTGTGAGTAATTAAATGTCCTTATTCCTATATATCCGCGGGACTCGCGTGTGATATCTGACTCTTTAGCAATCGTGACCTGCTTCATACCACTGTAATGTTAAAAAACATGAATGTTTGCACTCATCCATAAACATTATTATATCCATAAGCTTGACAGCAAGTCCCATCATTCAGCTCATCACTGCGTCATCAAACTACGGCTTTGTTATTGTAGGAAACTGCGCCCTCTTGTGGCGAAAAAAACTTACATATTGTGCCTATAAATGCTTTTATAAATTGAAATTGATATCAACATAATCCATGTTTGTGCTGTACAAGTGGCTCAGAAGTGGCATTTATATGTATTTACTCAGACTGTTTAGTGCAGCTCAAAGGTGGCATATGTATTTACACTGCAGTTACAATGGCCTTTGAAATGAAACAAAAACTTACATTATACTTTTTCAAACTAAAAGTAAATCCGCCAATAGCTAGCGTCAAGTCACTGTCTTAATGAGTGATTCATTAAATCTTTGATTCGTTCAAAACTGCGATTCATTCGAACGCCGCTGTGTTGCTAGGAGACCTGCAAAGGTTCTGTGACTTTGTTTTGAATGACATTCGTTGGTGAAATAGATCAAAATTAAGTAATATTGACAATATTGTATTTCAAATATGAGCCACTTAACTTATTTCTTTTATTTAACTGTTGTGTAAAATCAAAATCAATTTGCACTCATGCTGTTGTGTTATATTGCATTAGAAGTAGTGTGTGTGTGTGTGTGTGTGTGTGTGTGTGTGTGTGTGTGTGTGTGTGCGTGTGTAAAGAGAACTCATACAGGGGCATTTTTCGCCTAATATTTTGAATTTTGTGACCATTTATGTTTATTTTGGTGGTATTTTTGAACGTTAATTTCCGCTCCTGTCACAGAGTCAGTGCTACTGGGCCTCGGTCACATTAAATATATGCCATATATTTTGTCTTTCCCAAGTCTTTTAGTCTGTAAAAAATAAATAGATATATCTGTATATCAAAGGAATATATGTGTAAATTACCTGTGAATCTAGTAACGGATCCTGCGGAGATCTCAGAGGAATAACGGCTGTTTTAGTTTCACGGGAACGCGCTCGCTCTCCGGTCCGCTCGCTTCTCTTAAAGGGACAGTTCACCCCGAAAATGACCATTCTCTCTTTACCTTCTAGAGGTCATAAATATGTGAGAGATGATAACGAGGTTAATGTTTTTCAACCATTCTCTTGGCAATGCTACCAACATCTGTGATTTCTACTGTCTTCTAGACTCAGTTTCTGGCAACCTTTCGTATGGCGAAATGGGATTACGACTGGTCCGACAGGATGGAGATGATGATCACCGCTAACAGGTGACTGAGTCTTTGACAGATTTGTTTGTTTTCAGGCTGTTTCATATCAGTAATGTTCCAGGTTATGAAGAATGACTTTACGTTCATTCATGAGTAAATTCTGTATGTTTGTTCAGTGATAATAATGGAAACATCAGCGATACGGCGGTGAGGAGGAGCGTCCCGGTTCAGTTCGCCGTTGATCTGGCAATCAGTCTGTGAGTGGCATTTATTCAACTTCTCTTCTGTTTCTGCTCTTCATCTCTGAATGATTGAAAATTCAACATCTAAATGTCTTTCTGTTAGGAAAGGTTTTGTTCTGTTTTATTATCAGCAGTTAATACACTGGGACATTAACATTATATTAAAATGACAGAAAAACTTATGATTGACTGAGAAGTTATTGAGTTATTGTGTGTTTGTCAGAGCGGCTGAAGACTCTGTGACGTATCTGGATTTCTCTCTGGAGGACAGAGGTCCAAAAGCTCTCAACATCGTCTACAAGGTCAGAGTCAAACACACATCTACAGCTTCATCGTGTTGTTTTTGGGCTTGATGCGATCAGATTGGTGTGTGTCTGTGTGTTTGTGTCCACAGGTGGAGAATCTGGGTGTTAAAGGTCTGCCGGTGTCGCTCAAGCTCACCCTGCCCTGTCAAACTACACATGTGATTTTAACCCCTCAGAACTTCAGCATGCAGGAGGTGCGTCACTCGTTCATCAGCTCATACCATCAAACCAGCATGTGTTCTGCTGAATAAACATCTTCTGTTCTTCTCTACAGAACTCAGTGTCGTGTAGATTCATCAAACCGCAGGTAAGAGATCATAGACCCTTTTACAGCTGCTGTTAAAGTGATCGTTCACCCAAAACATGATCATTCTGTCATCATTTACTCACTCTCATGTCAAGTCAAGTTACCTTTATGTCATGTCAAGTCACCTTTATTTATATAGCGCTTTTTACAATACAGATTGTATCAAAGCAGCTTTACAGTGATAACATGAAAATAATACAACAAAGTTTGTTTCTAGAAGAAAATTGCGTCATCGTCCACCTTAAGTAAGGCAGATCAATAATATTGTTGAATATTAAATGTCCCCAACTAAGCAAGCCAAAGGCCAAGGCAACAGTGGCAAGGAACCCAAACTCCATCAGGGACAGAATAGAGAATAAAACCTCGGGAGAACCCAGACTCAGTGGCTCAGTTCTCCTCTGGCCAACGAGCGAACAGTGTATGATTATCATTCAGGAGCATTACAGGTCAGAAGTCAGATTGGATCAGAACATTCAGAATATTAATCCAGTTCCATCTGGATGGAGGTCGGAGTCACGCCGGTATGGAGACGAGTTTGCAGAGGTGTCCATGAGGCCTTCACAGGGCTGATGAGGCTGGCACTGCAGGGTCGTGTCCAGGTGCAGGTTCACCGTCTGATCTGGATCCGGCCCGGATCCGGCTGACTTCAGTATAAATATATAGAAAGACTAACATTAGCGTAGATGCCATTCTTTTTATGATGTAACGAGTACATTGGGTCTTAAAGGAAGTGTCCCCAGTTCCGGCTGACCTAATCTATGCAGCCTAATAATCATTTAACTGATTTGAATAATAGAAATGTATAATGTTCTATGTGTATGCCAGGTTAAAGAGATTTTTTTTTAGTCTAGGTTTGAACTGACAGACTGTGTCTGCTTCCCGGACAAATTTATAAATAGGAAAAGGATCTCCCGCCTGCAGTCGATTTAGATATTCTAGGTATTATCAACTGGCCGGAGTTTAGAGATCGCAATAGACGTGAAGGACTATAATGCGTTAAGAGCTCGCTCAAGTACTGAGGAGCTAAACCATTTAGTGCTTTGTAAGTAATCGGCAATATTTTAAAATGTATACGATGTTTAATAGGGAGCCAATGCAGTGCTGACAGAACCGGGCTAATATGGTCATATTTCCTGGTTCTGGTAAGAACTCGAGCTGCTGCGTTTTTAACTAGCTGTAGTTTGTTTATTAAGCGTGCAGGGCAACCACCCAGTAGAGCATTACAATAATCTAGCCTTAATGTCATGAACGCATGAACTAACTGTTCCGCATTTTTCATTAAAAACATATGTGGTAATTTAGATAAATTTTTAAGATGGAAGAATGCAGTTTTACTGATGCTAGAAAGTGGCTTTCAAATGAAAGATTGGTCTCTAAGAGCACACCCAGGTTCCTAACCGACGACGAAGACTTGACAGAGCAGCCATCAAGTGTTAGACAGTATTCTAGGTTATTAAGTGAGGAAGTTTTTGGTCCAATAATTAAAATCTCTGTTTTTTCAGAGTTAAGTAGTAGGAAATTACTAGTCATCCAAACTTTTATATCAGCTTTGCATTCCGTTAATTTTGTGAATTGGTAAGTTTCGTTGGGTTTTGAAGAAATATACAGCTGAGTATCATCGGCATAACAGTGAAAGCTAACTCCATGTTTCCTAATGATATCTCCTAATGGTAGCATGTACAGAGTGAACAGCAGCGGTCCTAGTACTGAGCCTTGTGGTACGCCATACTGAACTTGTGATCGATAAGACATCTCTTCATTTATTGCTACAAACTGATAACGGTCAGATAAGTATGATTTAAACCATGCTAATGCAATTCCACTAATGCCAACATAATGTTTGAGTCTATTCAAAAGAATGGTGTGGTCAATAGTGTCAAATGCAGCACTAAGATCAAGTAACACTAATAGAGAGATACAACCACGATCGGATGATAAGAGCAGATCATGTGTGACTCTGATGAGAGCTGTCTCAGTGCTATGGTACGGTCTAAATCCAGACTGAAAATACTCGCAGATATCATTTCTTTCTAGAAAGGAACACCGTTGTGAGGATACTGGCATTTCTAGTATCTTTGACAGAAAATGTAGATTCGAGATCGGCCTGTAATTGACTAATTCTCTAGGATCAAGTTGCGTTTTTTTAAATAAGAGGTTTAAAAATTACAGCCAGCTTAAAAGTTTTCTGTACATATCCTAGAGACAAAGATGATTTAATGATATTAAGAAGAGGATCTATGACCTCTGGAAGCATCTCTTTCAGTAGCTTATTCGGTATAGAATCTAACATATATGTTGTTGATTTAGATGATTTAACAAGTTTAGAAAATTCTTCCTCTCCTATAGCAATGTAAAAAAGTAAGAAAGAAAGTAACAAAGTAAAAAAGTTCATAAAGTCATTACTATTGTGCTGTTTGGACACGTCTGAAGTTTAACCCTCTGGGGACCAAGGTGTTTTTGGGGTCCTTGAGATGTTTTGACATGCTCTGACATTTGTGCTTTTTTTCAGTTGCTTATAAACATATTAATGGCACAGGTGAAATTACACTCTATTTAGCACAAACAGGACTACCATAATGTGTGAGCAACATGTATGTACATGTTTGTATTTTTGAGAGAATATTGTTTATGCGTGGTTATTGAAAAAACTAAAAAATAAAGTTTTTGAAATAAGGACACAAAAAACATACTAAATATGAGTCCACAAGACTTTTGACTAATGTACGTTGTTGCCTAGAGTTTTTGCTTCAAAATGATCTGAAAATCATCCTTCCTAATCATTCACATAAAACAATAGATTGTTTTAAATTGTGAAAAACATTTTTTTGTTTGCCAAGGCAATATGCGGATGGGCGGAACGGCCCAACCCCCTCATGAATAATTAAGTGGTTCTCAGACAGTGACCCTGCATAATAATAAGCCTTTCAGGGTGTCACACAAGAAAGAATGTAAGGACAATATATATATATATATATATATATATATTGTCATTGCATTCTTTCTTGTATATATATATATAGCCTACATGTATATATATATATATATATATATATATTGTCATTGCATTCTTTCTTGTATATATATATAGCCTACATGTGTATATATATATATATATATATATATATATATATATATACATACACACACACACACACGTATATATATATATACAAACAATCAAAATATAAATGAAAGCCAAAAGCACATTTATAGTCATACCTGGAAACAAATCCTGGTCAAATGCTATATGGGCCATTCTACAGAATTGGTTCAAAGTTACAGTTGGAAACATCTTGAAAAGAAAATAGTCTTTTCCCATAAATGTCTTATCAAGTATTATTTTTTAAAGTAGACCAATACAATAAAAATAAACCAGTCGCATTTCAAAGTCGCTCGCGAAATGACCGCCAGGTGGCGCAAAGGGACATTTATCAAAACGTAAGTGGGGCTAATGTCAATTAACAGTAAGGATGAAATTCTACAAGTTATGGTAATTTACAAATAAGCCTACAACAAACATTTATTTTTAAACAAATATTTTTAAATATGCAACATGCACGTTTAAACAACAAACAATACAATCTGAACCAGCGCTTCTGCTCCTGTATTGAGACATGCAGCGCGTTTCAGTTACGATCCTGGTTCCAGTGGCCTTAATACATTCACGGCTTTTTAAAATGTCAAAAAGCGTTTTGAGATGGTTTTGAATGAAATATTGAAGTTTATAATTAGGGTATTTTGGCACACCACGCCGAGTGGCTATGCATTATTCTAAAATCTGGCTTTATTCTGGCATGTTGAATTAGAGTTTGACAAACGTGGCGGCGCGTTCATTTGGATTTATTTTTCTCATAACAGCTAAAAGAACTTACTGCGTAATTGTTGGTCATACAGATAAGATATCATCTTTTAAAACTGTAAAAGGTCTACTTTTATTCATGTAGGCTAAAGTAGGCCTACACTCACAGGCTAACGACAAAACGTTTTCTCGCTCATGTGAGAAACAAACGTTTGGGCATTTCTCAGTGAGGAAATTCATAGCCGAGCGGTAGAACTGACGGTTCGATCATCAAGAGGACACGGGTTCGAATCTCGAACAAACATGGTCTACTGTAAATTTTATATTTATTAATGCAGAGAGATTTGTCTAGCTCTAAAACTCTGTTACACCATACAGTTTTTTGCTTATATTTATAAAATAAAATTACCATGCATTTCCATTTTACACTAGGAACAATAGTATCCAACAGAACGACTTTCCATCTGTACCAATCGTACGAGGCTACCAATCGTAATTTCAAAAGCAGTTCTGTAAAAAAAGTAATTTTACATATATAGCCTATATATATATATTTTTTTTTTTTTTATTAGGCCTATTATTATTATTATTTTGATTCCCTACAACCTAGAGTTTTTAAAAACATGGTTTTAAGTAAAGTGTGATTTGCCAGGGGGGACGGGGATTTCCTTCTGGTCTAAACATCCCTGCTTCTGCTGAATTATTTGAATCCCCACACCCCTCCCTCCACAGTAATCAATGCTATAGGCTACTTCACCAATAGACCATATCAAATATAAAATAGAGATATGCAACAAGCACGTTTAAACGACAAACAATAAAATCAAAACCAGCGTTTCAGTTGTTCATTAGTTCCAGTGGCCTTAATGCATGCACGGCTTTTCAAAATTTCACAAAGCGTTTTGAGATTATTTTGAATTAAATATTGAAGTTTATAATTAAGTGTTTTGGCAGACCACGCCGAGTGGCCCTATGCATTTTTCTAAAGTCGGGTTTTATTCGAACTTTTGCTAACGACAAAAGTTTATCTGTCGTCTCTGTCTCCGGGAACTGCGCGTCACAAAAATGAACCGAAAGCCACTTCAGCTCAGTCACTATAAGAAATCGGCTCTGTCTAAAGCCTTTAAATGTCTAAATATTCAGGCTAATAAATGTTATCTGATTATGTAATCCATATGAAAACGAGAGGTACAGAGGATCTACTCAAACATGTAGCCTGTAAGCGCTTCCCAATGAGAAAATGACAAGGGTGAAAATCTCGCTCTTATTAAATGTAGGCTAAATCGCCCTGAATTAAAATGTAAAAACAGATCAAATAATGTATTTGTCGAAATGTTGCGATATTGTTTCATTTAAGTTCATAATTATTCAATACATGTTATTTAATTTAGCAGCATTACCACGAAGCACCGTGGTTCGATATTTATTTGAATAATAAAAAAAATAAAAAAAACTTAATTCACAAATTGCATGCCTGGTTGTAAGGATCCAAAGATCCCTGTAGAATTTAATATTGAGTTGAACATTTTGTTCATGACAACAAATTAACAAGCGTTTTTTCAGATTATATTTAGTTTTGCTTGGAAAAAGCTGCCCCAAGCCAGTTTTATTTCATCAATTATTGAAATAATGAAATATTTAGTAATAAACTTTTATGACAGAAATATCACTAGGCTACATGTAACTTAAATCATTTAATTCCTTCATTATCAACACTGTCTAGAATAGCGATTTAAGTGTGAATTGCGACTTCTCTTTGTGTTAAATCAGCCTCAGACTCCGATAGCCTGTGGGGGGTTGGAGGGACAGTTCAGTGCTGTATCGAGCGCGCAGGACAATAGGCATAGGTGTTAATGTTCCTCTTCCATATGGAGAGCGAGGGAGACTAAACAAACTTGTTAAAAAGAGATTCAGCGCGAGAGAGGCAAAGTAAAACGCATGTTTTAATTTAATTATGTTGCTTTGGACAATTTTCGTTTTGTGGGCCTACTGTTTTGATTGTTTAATTTAGCTGTCATTTCTTTGGCAATACAAATTTAAAATGTCGCAAGAATAAGATTAGCCTAGTGTTTCTTATTTTGCATCGCAAAAGAAATAAACTCCAAACCCGATGCAACCCTGTTTTAAATAATAAAAAAAAACTGTCCCGACACTTTATTTAAACCTTGAAATGTTCGAACTTGGTTTCAAAGTTAAGTAATTTTAGTGTCCTTTTACATTACACAATAATTAAGCAGACTAAAGACGAGCTTCTTCATTTTCATTTTCTGATGCAATCGGCTGACAATCTTCCTTCATCAGTTTATGTCCTTTGTGCAGCGGCTGCGGTTCTACAGGAATGTAGCAAATTTATGTTGTAATCAGTGGCGGCTCCAGACAATTTTGATTGGGGGGGCAATGGGGGGTCCTGGTCATTTCAAGGGGGGTCTCATGAAAACCAACAAAAAATACAGTGGACACGGCTAATAACTGCATATTGCTGCTACTTAACAAACGGTAAATGGTAAATGGACTGCATTTATATAGCGCTTTCACAGACCCAATGGCCACCAAAGCGCTTTACATAGTGCCTCACATCATTCACCCATTCACACACCGACGGTTTTTTGTTTTTAATTAATTAATCAATTGCAGTTTGCAAACAATATGCTCGAACTTTAATTGCCATAGCCACACCCATGACAGAAAACATATTTACAAAATAGTATCCTCCTCATCCTCCAATTCCTCGGTGTCCTCTGTTTCCAGTCTTTACTAAGAAATCCTATGAAGAATTATTTACAAAATCTTCTGCAGGACAGTTCAATTCTTTACAATAATATAATATATTATAAAAGAAAATTAAGCTGTTACACTGAGATGGTTTAGGAAAACCATAAAGTGTTTTTGTAAAGTCAATTAATTGTACAGGCAGCATTAAACCATCAAAGTTAAATGATTGTTTATAGCTTATGAATTTCCTAGCCTATATTTTCTTTAGCAGGGGGTTTCAAACTTTTTAATGGCAATGAGCCCTAAACAATACCCTTGTGAGATTCTTTATTTAGGCTTATAATATAATACAATATATGCCCAATATAATATAATATAAAAAAATGAATTGAAGTATTTGAAGTGATAGTTTAAATGCTTCAATTTGTTTTCATATAATATTATTATAATATGAAAACAAACTGAAGCATTTACTGTAAATAGCTAGATCTAATAGCTAAATATTTTCAAGAAAAGTCAATATGTGAACTCTTTTATAGTAGCCTAATCTAACCATGCCTGAAACTATTTAAATCTATGTAAACTAATGATGTATTTTGAGTTTGCACGCGGGTGGGTGTGTAATTGTTACCGTTCTGTGTCCATCATCCGTTATTTCCACCACTTTAATCAAACCACTCTTCTTTAAAACATGATATTGTGATTTTATTTCACATGTCTTTGCGTTTCTCGTCGCCTCTCGTATTGAGATATTTGGTCCGCACACACGACTCACTGCCAATCACACGCGCTCACATCATTCTCTTTCTTTGAAACATGTTAACTGCACTCACCAGTTTGAGCACTGCAATTATTTCTCACATACAATCAAATGGATTTCCCCACACATTTCGCGTCAGTCCTCTGCGTGGCATATTATTCTTTTCTGCGCGGCCGCGGCATCAGAAGTGCACGACCGCGCACGCGCGCAGCTTAGAGGGAACGTGATTCTTATGTTTATATATTTTGTACGTCGAATAAATTATTAATTATTATTGTTCTGCGTAGTTTGAAGATAAACATTTTTAAATATTTATCCCGGATATATATTTTTTTAATCAGGAAGGGGGTGGGGGGTCAAATGGGGGGTCAAAGCATTTTTTGGGAGGGTCTTGAGACCCCCCAAGACCCCCCCCCTGGCGCCGCCTCTGGTTGTAATGATAATTAAACAAAACTCTTGACTTTAAATAAGTAAACAGTTATAAACAGTTAGCTATTTAAGCATCAAGAAGGTAAAATATAAACGCTGTTGGCCAACATCGGTTAACAACATGTATGCTACATTGAGATTCGATCTCGGGTCGATTGAAGCTCCTCGAAGCTCGTGTTGTTGCGTTAACCACTGAGCTATCGTCTGTACGTCTGTGAATGTTTTTATTGCAATGTTTTATGTTTGCATTATTTATTCAATTTCATTTCAGTAGCCTAATTTCAGTATTGTGATTATGAATTATTTTAACTACGTTTCACTTGTTGAATTCATCTGCTACCAGCTTTTAATCGCTCTGAATCAGCCGCGGTGCGGCGGCAGATTACGCATTAGAAAGAATAAACGAACACTTTTCAGAGTCTATGATTGTAGCGCCTCTTAGCGGTAAAAGGCAGCAAATACACCACACATTTTACCGCCGCGGTGGAACGGCTGATGTGGGCATTGTCATGGCTTGCCTCGACATTTGCGTTTGAATAGTGCATGTCCTCCGTGGGCGTGTCAGATTAACGCGTAATGAAGTGTAATGAGCTGGGGAAAAAATTCTGACAGCACTCTCTTTTCATACAGATTGCATAAACTGAGAATATTAGTTTTTTTATATAAATTACTTCATTGAAAAGAAGAGAATTCAAGCTTCATAAAGAAAAATCTCTCGTGCCTGTGTGACAAGTATTTGCAGAGTTAAGAGTTAATTTTTCGGACGTGTTTCAGAATGGACTGCACTGACAGAGAGAAGGCAAAACTCGCATCATGTTTATTTTTCTTTATTTGACAAAAAGCACAAAACTTTGTTTTTATTGTGAGTATACAGAAAAATAATAGACAATTAACAGGATCGATTGATGTATAACACTTATATGTACGATCAAAATCAACAGAGTATTTTAAGTCTATTTTTCTGCTATGTGAAAAAAAAACGGCCCTCCCCAGAGGGTTAAAGTTCACGTCGTTGTACCACAGCGTTGGACTATTTTTTTAAAGGAGCAACTGTGTCTAAAGTGCTGGAAAAGAGAGAGAGTCTACTCGGTTACTAACGTAACCTCGGTTCCCTGAGAGTAAGGGGACGAGTATTGCGTAGCTATACGCAGTGGGGAAATTCCTTTTCCTCGAATTCTGAAGCTTAAAATGTAAAACGCATTTTGCAGCTGCACAGCTAGCACAGTGAGTGTCTCATTGGCTGTGCTGCGGGGCTTTTATAATAAAAGCCAAAAAGCTTTTTTAATAGCCATAATGGCTATTTCGGGGGCTTTTATGGGCTATGGCCACGCCCCTTGTCGCGGGCTCTGACGTGTATGACGTAATGATAGCTCATTGGTGCACACGCTGGAGCCGCCCGCGCCATTGGATGTGCAGTTGCCGCAGCACAGCCAATGAGTGAGCCAGACACTCACTGTGCTAGCTGTGCAGCTGCAAAATGCGTTTTACATTTTAAGCTTCAGAATTCGAGGAAAAGGAGTTTCCCCACTGCGTATAGCTACGCAATACGAAGTGACTGTTCTCGAAAGGGAACAATAGTTTCTGAAGCAACGTCGAGTTCTTCTAAGCTATCTGGGATGCTGAGGAGAAAAAACTGATTAGAAAGGTTATTTAAAAAGCAATATACATCATACATGTTTTGAACAACATGAGGCTGAATAAACAATAACAAAATGATAATTTTTGGTTGAACAATCCATTTAAGATCCGATCACAAGCAGTCACAGTAAACGCATCTTCCGGCTGTTGGATTTCATCTGTTTAGATCAGTTGATTCTCTGGTTTATTGGTGTCAGTGTTTCAGGTCTCAGTGTTGTGTTGATGTTTCAGGACGGTCACTGCGGGAAGTTCGAGTGTGGTCAGTTTGATCTGCAGAAATCTTCAGTAGTTCACTTCATCCTGAAGGCAAACGCAGCTCTCCAGAACGTGAAGGAATACGAGAGCGTGAGTGACGAACACAGACAAACAAACACCAGTTAAAGATGGAATAACTCTGAAATCAGACTCTGTTTCTTCTGCTGTAGAAATACTCCTTCTACGAGTTCAGAGAGGATTTTGTCTTGGACATCAGCGCCGAGCTCCACTACAACAGAAGCCGCTACAACCAGACGTCGACCGGCCTGAAGGTGATGAGTGAAAGAGATCTGTACCTTTGCCATAACTGATGTTGTGCTTGTGATTGTCAGTGTCGGTCTGAATTCACACCACAGACCTGCAGGAGTCCATGACTGACGTCACTCTTACAGCATTACAGATACAGACACTGCTCCTTCATATTTATAACTATTTCTTCTTCACTCTGCAGGACGACCCTCACCAATCACAGGTACCCACATCTCACTCCTTCATCCATCATCTAAAGATGATCAACGTTTGTAGAGTTGGTTGAGATGAGTTTCTCTCTGTCCCTCTCAGATTGCAGTGAGGGCGGAGTTTGTCGTTCCACCCAGTCTAATGCTGATCGTGTGCACTGGCGCAGTGGGCGGGGTCATCCTGCTCATTATCATATTGATCCTGCTGCTGAAGGTAAGAGCCAATCAGATCACCTCACACCTGATGTCATCATTCACCTCTCAAATCCTCAAGCCAATCTGTACATCTGTGTGTTTGTGTGTAGTGTGGTTTTTTTAAGCGAAAGCGTCCTGAAGAGTTTCCCTCGGAGGATGAAAATCTCACTGCGGTTGAAGACTTTCCTCTCATGAACACGAGTGCTAAAGAAAGCAGAGGAGTCAGTGAGAACGACAGCACAGAGAAAGAGAATGGAGTGACAGACAGCACAGAGAAAGAGAACGGAGTGAACGAGACGAATCGCAGTCCTGAACCACCAAACACTGACGAATAAAACCACAGTTTATTTTCAGCAAGTAAATGAAGGTGAAAATGTTTGTTTGGAAGGATATGAACATTGTTAACGATCTTTTTTTTATTTTTTTTTATTTTTTTATTAAGAAAAGCATCTCAAGCACAGTACAAGCATCAGTACAACTAAATAAAAGGAAGGAAAAAAAGGGTTTATCCAGAGCTTGTCTCCTGAAATTAATCTAAAAATGGGCTCCAAGATTTCAAGAAAAGATCAGGTTTCATTCTAACTCCAAAAGTAGGTCAAAAACCCACTGACGGTAGGTTGGAGGAGATGGCAGCGTCCAATTAATTAGTATAGAGGCCTGCATTTCAGCCCGAGCCCAACGGGCCCCGACTTATTTACGCTTCTAGGGCCGGGCTTCGGGCCAATTTTCACGTCATAGTTCACACGCGGGCCTGTTTTAGGCTTATCTTTTTTATAGCCTATTTTAGACATTAATAAAAATAAAATATGAGAAGATGACGATTGAAAAGCAAACATAGAAAGACGTTTTATAACCTATCACACTGACATGACTGACACATGACAGTCTGCACACGCACAGGTTTCCCCGCGGGGCGATCTGAGATTCGCGTGACCGGCTCGTTCTGTGTTTAGTGTCCCGGTAGCGAGCGTGACTTCAGCGCAGCTGGAAAAAGTACGACTGGATTAAAACCTTCCACTGTGGATGCTGTGCTTTTTCTTCACGATGCTCTGAGACTGTTCTTAGCTAGGGGTGTAACAATACATCGATATGGATCGATGCATCGATCAAACGTCTAGCGATACGATGCATCGATACCACACATAAAATATCGATGTACAGTACCTTTATTTTGACACACTGCACATCCTCACGTAACTTTCTCCGCTGAAATAGACGCCTGACAAGATTGACTGAACCCTTTGTCACAAAAGCTGGTATTTTCCACTGTCATCGCGAGTTCATGTTTCACAGCAGAAACAACAAGCCCCGAAAAGTTTGTTTTAGCAAATCAGTGCGCAGTATTCAGGTCAGGTGACACGGCTGCTTGCTTGTCACTTTGAAAAGACGCGCTAGCTGAGAGGAGTTTCGTCAAGCTGACTAAAAGTGATCGAGGATGGATTTCAGCAAACTTGATGAACTCGTGATATCTTCTTCGGGGCGTAAAAGGAAAATAAGATCTGAAACTTTGTCACGGAATCTTGCTAAAACAGCAGGTTAGTGGTGAGTGAACAGCTCTCTGTATCGCGTGTACGTTAATCACAACAACAAAGTTTGACAGGCGTCTATATCAGCTGAGGAGATTAGTGTTACAAAGATTAACCAAGTGTTTTATTATGTATCATATCATACTTGGCTTTGTTTAACTCTGAAACATGAAATGTGGAGTTATCTGCTTTTGCCATACAAATATATATTTATATACATATAAAATATATAAATCCTTTCAATGAACTTTAATATAACAGAAGAGTTCGCAAAAACAGATAACTGCGTTCTTGTTCATTTTCATATATCTTTTTTTTTTTTTTACTTGTAACAAACTACTTGTAAACTTGTAAAAAAAGGGTGTGCAATTTATATGAATTTATATGAAGCCAATTTCCATATATACCAATTGGCTTCATCACTGTCTCCTCTCCACCAGTAAGCTGGTGTGTGGTGGGCGTTCTGGCGCAAAATGGCTGCCGTCGCATCATCCAGGTGGAGCTGCACACTGGTGGTGGATGAGGAGATTCCCCCTTCTATGTAAAGCACTTTGAGTGCAGAGAAAAGCGCTATATAAATGTAATGAATTATTATTATTTTATTTTATTATTAATTTTCAAAGAGTTTAATTAAACTTTCATGTTATATATATTTCGATGTATTGTGAGTTAATAAACGTAACCGGTTGTGTACACTTAGCACATAATATCTAAATATCGATTAATCGATCGATATAGCCCTGAATCGAATCGAATCGTAATCGAATCGTAGAATTTTTTGAGGTATCGGCAAATATCGTATCGCTGGCTGAGAGAATCGATATCGTATCGTATCGTGATTAACTGTCCGATTTACACCCCTATTCTTAGCCATGTTAGGAGGTTGTTTTTTGTTTGATTGGACTTTATTTTCATGAGTCTGTTGGAAACTATTGGAAACAAGAATGGCCATGTTCTGTAGTGAAGACTTGATTTTTGAGGTAAGATAACCTGCATGTTTGTTTTTAATGTAATTTATTTGATTTGTTTAGATTGCATTCTCTGTTGTATTGTAAACTCATTTAGTTTGCGAGGGCTGTTGCAATTGAGCAGCAGAGCAGTTTGCCTCAGCTTTTCAAAAATGACAATAAACGTTTAAACAAACGTTAACTGTCTGTGTGATATGCTTAAGTTGTTTTATATATATGGATTTTATTGTAGCCAAGTAAAGTGTTGATTTGAGAGGCTATAAATCAATGGATCAAACATGTTTAACTCACTGTCGGCTGCTTGGTCGTCATAAAAAAAAACATTTTTTCTAAATTAACTTTATAAAGAAATGAAAATAAACTTACTGGTAAATACTTTGCCATTGAGAACAAAACATATCTGTTTTACTGACTGCAACATAGGGCAGGCTGTGTATCGTTTTTTTAAATCTTTTTTTTTTAACGGGCTCGGGTCGGACTCGGGCTGATCATTCTGATGAGCTGTCGGACTCGGGCCGGGCTAGGGCCTGAGCGTCTCGGGCCAGGGCCGATCTAGGGCCTAGATTTGAGGCCCGTGCAGGGCTCTAAATTAGTATAAGTCGTCTAGCCAACAGTGTGCAAAGTGCAATATTATCCATCTCTAAAGATGTAAGTTTAACATTTTCCGGAAGAACCCAAAATAAAGCTGTCAATGGGTTAGGGTCTATTACTGTGGTAAGAATGTCTGAGAAACAACTAAAAATTCCCCAGCAAAACCTTAATAACTTAGGACAGGAAAAGAATGAAACAGAGAGGCTGGCTCCACAACACAGCGTGGGCAGGTGGGGTCTAAATCAGGAAATATCTTGCCGAGTTGCACCCTAGACCAATGAAGACGATGCACTACCTTAAATGGAATAAGCCTATGCCTAGAGCTAACTGAAGAAGAATCCTTTTTAAGATAGTGTCCCAAGTTTCATCTTCCAGATGTTTCCAGAGAGATTTCTGCTAGATGGGGTTTGTTTGTCATTTATTATACTGTAAATCTTTGAACTGGCACCCCTTATACATTTATGTTGGTCTAAAATACACTCCAAGACACCACTAGGAGAGGCAGAGGGGAACTCCAGAAAATGTTCACGGGCCAAGCTCCGAACTTGAAAATACCGGAATAAATGTGAATTGGACAAAGAAAATGTATTTTTAAGTTGGTCAAATGAAGCAAAATTATTATCTATAAATAGCTGATCAATTGTAACTAGACCCTGTGACTTCCAAATATTGAAAACCCCATCATGAGGAGAGGTTGGAAAGGAAGCGTTACTGGCAATGGGTGCAGCTGAAGAAAGACCCTTAAGCTCTAGAGCTCTGCCGAACTGAGTCCAAATCCTCAGAGAGTGTTTAACAATTGGTTTCTTAATCGAGATACTATGAGTAGGAGGGATAGAAGAACAGAGCAAAGATGTCAGCGTGACTGGGGAACAACAAACAGCCTCTATTTGCACCCAGAGAGGTTTACACAGTTGCAAATCATGCCGGCACCAGTACAGTTTCTAAAGTTGGCTGCCCAGTAATACGTTTGAAAGTTAGGCAAAGTCAAACCTCCCAGCTCTTTTGGCTTAACAAGATGCTTTAGACTTATTCGCCTTGGCTTGTTATTCCAAATAAATGACGAGATAGTCTTTTCCAGACAGAGAAAAATGACTTAGGAATAAATATGGGCAAACATTGAAATAATATAAAACTTTGGGAAGAATGTTCATTTTAACTGCATTTACCCTTCCTATCAGTGACAGAGGAAGGGGTTTCCATGATAAAAACCAGTGTTAATTTCGTTGACGAAAATAACGACGAAAATTATTCGTCAACGACATTTTTTCATAGACGAAAACGAGACGATAACTAAATAAAACCTAGTTTTGAATGACAAAGACTATGACGAAAATCTATTGACATTTTCGTCAACGAATAAAAACTAGACGAAAATGTTAGATAGTGACGATTTGGGAAGCGATCCGTCAGAACTGATGTCCTGCGTGTGTGGTAGATGCGCACATTTGTAGGCTACTGTAACGTGATCTACCCCGCGGTCATAAAACGTTAAAAAATGTGAACGTCTGAGAGAATGAGTAGAGCAGACATATAGATCTCTGAATAAGAGTGACGATGCAAAAAAGAGCTCTATTCGGTGCGGTTTTCTGTGCGCACACACCTAACCCGAAGCGTGCAGTCATGCACAATACACCTACAGCGCGCGAGTAGGCTACTGAATTGAGCTCTCTTTCGTGTCTGAATGGAGAAATACACAACAGTATGTCTAAATGTCCTTTTTGGAGAGTATTCATGTAAACTATGCTGGTTATGTCTTAAACTGTGAGTGTGTCGGATGTGCATCAGTGCAATTGTATCCGCATGTCATTGGACATGATCCGACGTCTTAAAGTGACAGTGGCAATAAACCTAATGCGGTCCGTGTCCTTAATTTTGATCAAGCAACAAAAGAAAAAGAGAAAAGCATTCACTGTTTGTTAATAGCTTTAATAAGGATTAATTATATTTAATTCATACAAATAAATATGTCTGCTTGAAAGAATAAAGAATGATGTGTAAGTAGTTATAAGGAATGAATATATCATTCATTGTAAAGAAGACTGTGTTGTACTTTAGGAAAAGTGGTTTTATTTCATTTTAAGATATTTTTTAAGTAACAGCAGTTAAATCTGTATCTGTATTGCATGTTCAAACTTAAAAATCATTCATATTAATAGGTTAATAGATGTTTTCTCTGGGAGTATATGGGTTTGGAAATTTTAGAGAAATTCTAAATTAACGCATTACAATTGAACTAAACCCATTATATTTTAGTCGACTAAATCTACTGTAGATTTA